AGGGGGAAGAAACAGCAGCTAGACAAACTATATGGGAAGAGGCAACACTTAAGAGGCAGCACGATGCTCTGCTGGTGCACATATGAATATTACTTTGTCACCGACAATAACTTGATCAGCATTCCCCCACAGTAGTGGCCTCACTAATTAAGATAATGTCCTGTTACACTGCAAACATTACTCAGGAATGGTTTGAATATGACAGAGAGTTCAAGGACTGAGCCTCCAAATTCCCCAGATCACAGTAATGATTAATCTTCTGTCGGATGTGACACAAGTTTTGTTCTTCGAGGCCCAATTTTGCTACTTACAGGACGTAAAGCTGCAGGAGGGAGAAAAACAATATGTGAATGTTAATTGAAAGTCAGTCCTCCTGCAGCTCTCCCCTCAGTTCTTAACCACACCAGCAGACAAGCACAGATTTCACTAATGCTGCTTAGCTTCACGCAGGATTCAAACTGTTGTGTTTAACTAATTTATCATCTCACCTCACAGCTCACTAGTTCTGGCCTAAAAAAGGTTAATGTCTCCTTTTAGAAGCTGCATTTTTAAAACCTGAAAGCAGAGCCCAGAGTAAACTCAGTGCTAACATCTTACACCCTGAATCAAGGACAACTTTATACTTCTTATGGATTTCCTACCATGAAGTATTTTGGCAGCAAAAGAGGGACCTGTGCAATATAAAGCAGGGGTTTTGCACAATAAAGCAGATCTGTGTTCACTCATGACGTTAATTTGGAGCCAGCTCTTTACAAAATCAAATAAATAAATCTCATATTTTCCATTTGTTCACATATTTAAACAAATAAAGATAAGATTGATTGTTTTGGTCTGAGGAGGATGTGACCTGGATGGTGGCAGTAGAAAAATAGATTTAAATGCTATTTTAAGGTCCAATCACACTTGAATTTCTTGAATTAGTGAATGTTAGTCTTTAAATTTGCAAAGTAAAATGTCCTTTTGTTTGGATCCTAAAGTGGGAGACTGCTGCATATGGGTTTAAGATAAACAAATCTCCCACACACACCTGCATGACAAAAAGGGGACTGACTCCTCTGGTTATCAGACACTCAGCTGCTTTACAGCATCCTTGCAACATAAAGATTGGCCTCCGCAGAATTGAAACCAGTGATCAAACAGGCGATGTCCAGCCTTGTTGAAATGCATTGTTTGAAAAACAAGTAATTACCCACCAGGCAGCACAAAAACCTTTTGTCCCCAGTGTGTGAAAAGGTAACGTGTTATAGGATCACCATTATGGGAAACCCGTGCTGAGGTGACGCCCTGATAACGTGTGACGTTTTTGCAGAGACATTTGTTTTTCAGTTTCACACCTGGAGAAAGATGAAAACCTTCACGACGCCCCTCTATTGTTTGATAGGAGCTCTGGTTGCAGTAAAATGTTTGATAGATTAATCACTCGGTTGCTCTGAAAAGCACTTCAAGGCTGAAACCTATATTCCTGTTCTTGGAAAGCTACTCTTTAGGGGAGGCTTTGGCTTTTTTAGCACTGCACTGCTCCACATTCACATCTGAAAACTGTATAGGGTGACCCCATTTGAAAACCACCTTGAGCGTTCCAGTATAGACTGCATTGTTTAAAGGCATAAATACAGTAACACTTGAGTCCAGTCAGTGAATTTCTTGAAATCATTCTGGGTACTTTGACAGCTGTTCTTTCATTGCAGCCACATTTTGCAGTCCTTTACAGTAAATTGATACATTCATATTCTGCCAAATTATATATGTCACTCTTTCTAAACAGAACACAATCATGTAATGCATCAGCACTAACCTTGCATTCATTTATATACTCTTATTAAAAGAATCAAATCATGGATAATAATGAGACTCTCAGTACTCCGCGTATTAACTTGCTTTTGTTCAAAGCCTGTTTTGATGCAGTTTAAATTGATAAAAAATACGCCTCGCTTTAAACAGGAAGAAAGTGTTGAGAATAGATTCCTTAATATACATCAGAGTTAAAGAGAATATAGTTTGGGATTGATTGTAATATTACAATATAGCCGTTAATGGGTGTAAGAAGGCCTGGAATGGGAACAAAGAACTGGGGTGCTGGGCAGGAGGACAATCAACCCCCACCCCCAGGCCAGGAAGCAAGAGTTACAGAGGGTGAGGGGCAGACAAAGGGCAAACAGACACTACCTTAAAAGGAGGTGGGGGTCAGGATGTCAGCACCCTCGGCCACTGTATAGTGTAGGGTGTTTACTGCAGGGGCGAGGAGACCAGAGGTTATAACTGTAACTGTTGTGTGGGGTTCTTTAGATCAGCCTTTAGCATAGGACTGCATAGGATGCAGTGTGCTAATCTCCAGATGCATCTGTAAGAATAATGGGTAATAAAAGGATTGTGTAAAACATGGAAACATCTCAGCGTGATCTCTACCAGGACCAAAAGAATTGCAGAGACCGGCGTTGTCTCAACAAAAGCAACTACAGAATGAGACTTAGGGTGGTCTAACACTTAGGGTGATAGTGTTGACCTGTTGGTGTGAGAGGGAGATGAGCATTATTTTCTGAAGGAACATCTTTATTAGACTTTTACTGTGCTTCTATTTCCCCAACAAAGAACACCATAAATTCCTGCTCAGAGCAGCTCCAAGGCCAGATCTATCTTCCCACTTAGCCCCAGATTTACTATGTGGTCATTTCAAAACACAACAAGCAACACAAGGGAAAACATTAACACACACTACCTTAGCAAATTGTCAGGTGAAAGCTAACACTACTGCTGCCCCAGCCGGTTTCTTCATCCAAAAACTCTGTATTCAAACCAGAGTGTGTGTCAACTTGGATTTTTGCTTATCTTTAACTCCAAGGATTAGTCATGAAAATTTTCAGTCTCCTCTACTTTGGAAAGTGATGACAGAGTTGTAATGAAAAACATATTTTTTAATAACTTTTATTATAACAGGATTTTTGGGCAAAGATCATGTGAGTCATTTTGGGGGCACGGGGAACTTCCAGAGAGGAGAGCAGGTAAATATGGTTGCAGAAGATTATTTCGCCAAAATTGTTAACAAACGACTTGGATCCTTACTTTTGTTTTCTTTGTGATTGGCAGTTGGCTTCCAGAAGGCCGTGCCAGAGGAGAGTGGGCAGGCAGGTGAGTTTGAAGGAGATAAAAGCAGCTTGGATTTGCAGAAAAATCCTTCCTCTGCAGATGAACAACATGAAAGTCTTGCAAGTGACTTGAGTCCAAGCTTGGTGCGAGAACAAGGTCAGGAAACAGAAGGTACACTCAAGAACTACTCATGAGTTGAAATCCAAGTTACTGCTGCAAAGGTGACAACAACCAGGTGAAGAGTGAAGGATCTGGCCACCTGTCCAGGGTGTACCCCGCCTCTTGCCCTAAGCGGGACAGGCTCCAGCTCGTCTGTGACCCTGAATTGGATAAATAGAGGAAAATGGCTGGATGGACGATAGACAGGTATGGTGGCTGGATTGAGGGCAGGACACCAAGGCCTGACGCTACTCCACATGACAGCAAAAGAGATAGCAGGAGATGAGAGAGACAGGAACTAAAAGGATGCTGGCCTGCTGGGACCATGATCAACAGCGACTGTGACGCCAGATCAAAGAAGCAAGTTGAAACAGCTTAACAAGCTGATGGCTGTCTCTCACATCAGGCTAACTGTTAATTACTCATATTTAACAACTACTGGCACACCTCTAGTAATTTCAGATATACTCAAATCAAACTGCTCAATGTTTAAAAAGATATTCAGCCCTCCAGCCTCAGGTAACTGCACAGTTATCACCATTTTCACAGCTTCCATAAGCACTGATACCAGAGACTTTCTAAATATGGGAACTATGACTCTCTGGTCTCGTAGCGGGTGCTCACAAGTCCAGAATCAGTAGAACCCTATAGAGCTGTAACCTAAAAATGTAACACTGATGAGATAAAAAAAAAATGTTTTATTGTATTTGATAGAATACAGGCAAAGTTCTGGTTTTTAATTTTTACTTTTGTTTTTGACATTTTGCTTATTGCAAAGTACCTCTCTGTAAGGATGGGGATTGCCACAGCTCCAAAGACCACTTTACTGCATTTGCCATTTAGATTTCACACATCAAAGAGCAGCAGTAGAGAATTTCTGCCAGCAGCCACCTGACAGCACTCATCAGGGACCACCCCAACCAGCTCCTTTCAGATTCATGTACAATTTTTTATGCTTTGCTTCCAATGTGCTTCTAAAGTCTGTTGTACTTATCATTTTAAAAGCTACTGAGCGAGCATCTCCAGTTTTAAGTCGTTAACCAACCAGTCAGCGGACATAAGCAGAGCATCAGTGTTTTCTCCAAGAAAAACAAAAGGAGACTAATTCCTTTTATTCTCAATTCTCATGTATAGTCAGTAACATATTTGTCAATAGGGGGGGGGGGCAAATGCCCACACAAGCTGAAATGACATGGCACCTATGCTAATATAAGAATACATACGGTTACGTACTGTTTATTTTGATTAAAATATGCATCATCATTTTTGTGTGAGCATTACAATTGTTATTAAAATATGTGACTAGTACATTTCTAAATGCTTGACACTTGCACTCCACCCCCTACACACAGGCGCCATCTAATAATGAACGTCGTTTAGTAGGTCATGATGTCTTCTGTTAATAATTAATTTGTATTCCTATTAGCCTGTGTACAAATACAAGCTTTTTTTTTTGACACTTTTAGGCTGACTGTTGGCATCTTAGTCATAAATATTTACAAAATATAAAAATGTGACTTGAAAATAGGCCATTGGCTGTTTCTTTGTCTTCTTCTTTTTTAAAATTTATTTATTTTTAATATCTCGCACCCCCACTCCCATGTCTCTGAATGGCGATATTCATTCATCTGCACACAGCAAGAGAGAGAGAGAGAGACAGAGACGGGAAGAGAGAGAGAGAGAGAGAAGCTTTCCTCTCCCTCAAGTTTCCAGCTGGCAGGGAGAAATAGGTTGACACAGTACATGCTCGCACCGAGGCTATAAAGAAGAAGTCAGGCTTGAAGAGGCGGAAAAAAAGAACAAATAAACCTGGATTTGCGCTCTCATCGGCATCCGGTGAGGGATATGAAGAAGACAGATAAGAACATGGAAATGAACTGTAAGGGTTTGAAAGGACGACAGGGGAAATTTGTTGTCCTCATCTTTTATCTCCAGATGTTGTTCAGCCCCGTGGTGAGTGGCATTTTGATTCTTTTATTTATGCGCACTCGCAGCAGAATCTTCCTGTCTGCCAAGGTGCCGTTATCCATGAAGTGATTAAAAGCTGCTCAAAGTGAAACAAAGTCCCTTTGGTGTGAGCTTTTAACACGCAAAAACGCTTTTAATTAGAAAACGATCTTCTCAATTACGCCCTAATGACATCTTTACTTTAATACCCCTTTTCACATTGTCCTCTGCCTTCTTTCTCGCTCTCTCTCCGGTGCATGCATCAGACCTGAACGGCAAATGTCCTCATTAAGCTGGAGGCGCTAATTAGCGACCGGCATCCATCAACCTGCGACTTTATCAATCAAAGAGCAAATCAGCAGGGAAAACGTGTGTGTATGTGTGTGTGTGTGTGTGGCCGGGGGTGGGGGGGATACAGAGATGTTGTCTTACAGATCGGAGAATGAATTCGCAAAAACGGGACCTGTTCTTTAGTATGATTCAAATTCTGGCTCAAAATGTCAACTTGAATGAACTTGTAAGCATCAGGGAAGTCACGCTTAAATGTCGTTTTTCCTTTCTAGAGTGCAGGCTCGTTATCTGCTCTAAAACTATGTCTGTTGTTGATGTTTGTTTAATAAACTGCATTTCACTTCCAAGTGCCCCCCCCCAAATTGCTGCACCGATTGGCACCATAACTCCATCAGGCTCCGAGCGAAAGAAAGTCAGCTTGTGCACATGTGTCCGCTTTCCTGTAGATAACTTAGTTGGATCTTATTTTCAGGCCGAAGCAATTCATCCGGACTGCGCCATCATCTCCCAGCACCTGAGGGCTCGTGAGATATGTAGCCAGACGAGGAGGAGCGAGGCGCAAAACCAAACTGACCGCAGCGGTGGGTTCGCGCGCGTGTGTGTGAGTGTGTGATGCTGCTTTCTGTTTCTGCAAACACGCAAACATTTCAAGAGATAAGCAAGAAACGTTGGCGCACTGGGAGAGGATTTTAATAGACTGGAATGTGGGCTGATCTAAAAAAAGGAGTTTTGAGATGGGCTGGGGAGTGAAAGGTACAACAAAACGCGTTTTTACGCTCACAGAGGAACACAGTGCAGGTTAAAGTTTCCGCTATTTGCGGTTTGGTTGGATGTCTTCTTCTTTGTGCTGTGATATTTGCGTCCTTGTGAGAGGCAATTTGCTTTCAACACGGAACAACAAAAAAAAAAGAAGAAAAAAACCTTTGATTTTATTCATTTTTAGGGGGCAAAGGCTTTTCATTTATTCAAATAGTTATTCATTGAGGAAAATATGCTTGCTACAAACTGAATATGTACCAATCAAGTATTGTTCATTTGACCAGATTCCATTAAATTGAATATTTTACATCGTACTTACGTAACAAAATTACGTGGAAAATTAGTGAGCATATTTTTGAGTAAAATCTAGCAGCGTGCAGGATGCATATCATAAAGACCAAACATATAAAAAGAACCATACCGGTGAAAACATTTGGAACCTTCATCAATGAGCAATGAGCAAGTAAACCACTTGAATTAACTAAAAATTATGTTTACATAAGACAAATCCTTTAAATTTTCTACTTTTTTAAAAACCTGCATTTCTTTTATAACAGATTAGAGTCACAGCTTTGACTGGTTTCCTTTCTTTAAATGACCTGTTTTGACAAACCAGTGACAGAAAATGTACCAGCGACCACCACAGCAACTATACAGTTTAACCTCTGAGGAGAGACCATGGTTTTAAAAAGGTCTGAAAAGATCAGCTGATTAACCCAATTTTACTTTTTAACCTTATCAACCATCCATTTAAGCTTCTGTAGATGCTTTCTTTCTGACAACGATCACAGTAATAGGTGGTAAAAGTTCATATGTCTAATGGAATAGAAATAGCAACAGAAAGGACTATACGCATTTAAAGTGACAAAACAGACAAAACAATATAGAATATGCCTCTGTGATTAAAATCGAATTATAATATAGGATAAAAAATAAATAAGCAGAACACAATACATTTAAAATAGTGTCAAATTAATTCACTTGTATTGTCTGTACAGCTTTCAGGTACATTTTGTGCTCCTTGCTCATTCTTTAGTTTTTACACCACCACATAATATGATATTCCTACTTTTACTTATGTAAATGTTACTGTTTGTCATGTGATAGTATATTAAGAAGAAGTACATCATAGTAACATAGACATTAAAACTATAGTCTATTTATTTGTAGTAGTTCAGTTGTGTTAAATCCAGTAACACTGGAAAATTGTGTTGGTGCACTACTTTATCTCCATAATGACCTTTTTCTCACTCTTGTCACCTTTACTTCCTCCTGGTGAGGTCTCACCTGCTCATTCTTCCAATGTGACTCACTCATTATTATTATTTATTCATTTTTTTAAATTAATGAACTTCCATCTCCCCGTGCACTTTAATGTCTCCATAGCAGACATTTCATCAGATACTACCTTAATACAACAACAACAACCTAAAAGTTCCCTTCTGTGAGAGTGAGGAACTTTAACATTTCCAAACTAATCTGATCTTAATTAATAGTGAAGTGGCACAACACATCAGTGCAAAGTTGTCATCTGCTGCTCATTACTGAGATAAATGTATTTTGATAAAATGTGTGTTTGTGCCCCATTTGCATAATAGCAACTGTGCAGATGACATGTGTTATCATGCAGAGATAGAACCCAAAGAGACATGCCGATTTGAACCTTATCAGCGGCTCACTCCTAGTGGTAAAGGGCCCTAACAGATGTTACATGAGCTGTACCAGTTTGAAATGTGATGGTTTGATTCAATCTAATGCCTGTTAACACTTATTTGTATTGACAGTTTAATTTGTTGGTTGCAAAGAAGTGCTCTGTGCATCACAGTGTATTGCCTGAAGTCCTGCAGCAGTCTGAACCTATAATAGGGTCTCCTGATCCACCCAAGTATAGGTTTCATCACATAGGAAAGTGTGTCTTCTAAATCCAATTTGGGAGCTGGTTGCACAGGAGATGGGCGTGATAGCTGAAGGTTCTGCCTCCCATTTTACTTTCAGAAACTCTAGAAATCACAAGTACGCCAGCAATCTGAGAGTGAAGTGCTATAGTGTCATAATGTGGTGTGAGGTCTTTAAGATCTGATAGGGCCTGGTTAGTTAAGACTTTGTATGTGAGGAAAAGCATTTGAAATTCAATTCTGGCTTTTACAGGGAGCCAATGAAGAAATATTAATAAGGGAAAAACACAATCAAAGTTTGTTGTGGCTCAAGCCTTAGAGCAGGTCATCTACTAATCCCTGGCTGCTCCAGTCTGCATGTCAGATATCACTGGGTAAGATATCAAGTTTCTCTGCGATGCCCCCGGCTTCATTCGGATATAGCTGAATATCGTCTGCATAGCAAGGAAAATATATGCAGTGTTTTCTAATAATATTGCCCTATGGAAGCATGTATGATGTGAATGATACAGATCACTATGATATTTTGTCCAGAGTGCCCATTTACATGCTCTCATCTGTTTTAGTCTATAAGATAAGTCCTTCAAGTTTACGGACCTTTAAAATCTTTAAAAAATACTGTTGATTACTATGGAATTTAAATTTTAACAATACTCTTTCTGTCCCATCATCAGGGGGAAAATGTATATTTGTCCAAACATCTGTAAAAGTAACAATATCTTCACAGTTAATAAATAAGAGCTTTCTAATGTACAGCTTGTCATTGTGAGTATGTTAGCATGCTGATGCAACAAGAGTATACTCAGCTGTTGAGAAAAGGTTAATGGGGTACGCAGGTACACTTTTAATGCTATTGGAAATGATAGGATCAAGGACCATGCCGTCATCTAAAATACAATACTTATGTAATTTCCGTTGCTGCGTTACTTTTATCTTCTGAAGCATCATCAATGTTTGAGGGTTCATTTTGTCCATGTTTTCTTCATTCTTCTCCCCTGGAGAGGTCCTTTGGAACATTGGGGGAAATCTGCTACACAGCAACCGATTTCATATTAAGTTTTTTGGGTTATGCAGCAATATAATGTATTATTTATTTGCATAAATGACACATTGAAAGAGAAAACAATTAAATATCCTCCTTTCTTTCTGGACACTTGCACAACAATCAGGTGATTTTCGTTCATGTGCAGGGAGGAGGAAAATGCAAAACATTTACATTTTTTGTGGAGTGGTGATATGAAGATTACTTTTATTTTTGTTGCACATAAGGACAAGAGGGGGATTTGTGACCAGGGTAAAACAAATACATTATACTGCTAATCCAGCATTGGCTATGTGCAAGCATCTGCACAGACATCATGCTAAAACCAAGCCAGTTAAAGAAGCCAGAGTGATGTTAAGGCTGAGTGAATGCTTATTCCAGCCCAGCAGCATCTTCAACAGGTAACAAAGGCATCAAATGCACTGGAAAGAAGAGGAATGAAAGTCAGTAGAAGCAAGTGTGAGAGTTAGAGGGAGACAGGCGTAACAGTGAAACTGTAAAAAACAGAGGTAATAATGGTAGGTGAGTTTAAATACACAGGGTGGAGATTGTGCAGGCAGGGTGGAGTAAGGCAGAGTGATTTGTTAAAAAAGAAGGATATCAGCAAGAGTGTAAAAGGAAGGTTTACAAGATCGTCGTGAGGCTTGCTATGATTTGGAGATGTTGGCACTGACAAAAAGACAGGAAGCCAAGCTGAAGATGTTAAGGTTTTCATTCTCAATGACTAAAATGGACAGAATTAGAAATGTGTACATCTGAGGGACAGTGGACTGATTAAGATAGACAGGCAAGGCCGAGATGGTTTAAACATGCGCAGAGAAGAGATGGTGGATATACTGGACAAAGGATGTTAAGGATGGAGCTGCCAGAAAGGGAGTTAAAGAGGAAAACCACAGAGAAGTTTCATTGATGTAGTGAAGGAAAACATGTGGAGGGTTGATGTGACAGAAAAAGATGCTGGGGATAGGGTGAGATGGAGGCAGATTATCCACTGTGGCGACTCCTAAAGAGAGCAGTTGAAAGAAAAAGGAGATATCTTCAAATGCTGTAGCAAGGGCATCAAATACATGTCAGTCTTTTATGCATCTCTAAGTCAGCAGAACAGAGGATCTCTCAAAAGAATTCATTCAAGTGACACCAAGTTAGCTGCATCATCTGGCTGTCTAGCAGTCCTCATTAATTCCTTATTATTATCCTTATTATTTCTTTTTTCACAGCTTGCCAGGCATTAAATGAGTTGCTTGTGAGATTGAAATGACAAATATGATTTTACCAAAAAACTATATAAACAAATACATATGAGATCAATCCCTTTCTGTATTGATCCAGCCGCTGGATTGGAGTGACTGTAGCTCAGGAGGTACAGCAGGTCATCTACTGATTGGAAGGTTGGTGGTTAAATTCCTGGCTCCCCCAGTCTGCATGCCAAATACTAACCCCCACTTGCTCTCCGATGCATGAATGCATATGAATGTATGTTAGTTAGGAAGCACTGACAAAGCATAGACAAAAGTGCTTGTGTGTATGAGTGAATGCTGTGTGTTAGAGCGCTTTGAGTACTCCAGGAGTAGAAAAACGTCATATAAGAATCAGTCCATTTACCATTCCTTTCTCTCATAAATGAACTGATTGTTTGCAACTGATGATGCTTTTACTGAATTTCAGTTTCAGAATACTTAACAATGAACCTTCTGCACATTTTGAATCTTTGGTAAATATATTGCTGAAGATGATCTAATATTGAACATATCAGTGTAATTACAAAGTAAACACAGAAAATTAAAAAAAAAAAACTATAACTCTGATGTGGGATTAGTAGGGATGGAAATTTAATGATTCAAATGTCATTATCGACATCACTTACCGATTTGATTCTTTATTCATT